CCATTGCAGTCCAGCCTGGGCGACAGAGGGAGACTCTGTCTCAAAAATAAATAAATAAATAACCCAGTCTCAGGCATTTCTTTACAGCAATGAAAGGATGGTCTAATACAGATGGGGGAATTTCTAGGGGTTTCCATTTCTTCTTCCCACCATCAAAGTTTTCATACTACAGATCAGAGAAGCCAAAGCGTTGTGTCTGCCATTTTATAAGTATGTCGATTTCAACTACACTCTCAAGTCCTGAGAAAGGAGCCTCACAGGGTCTTTAAAGTCCCCTTGACCCACTGTATGTTGGTCTTTAGGTGAATCCTCCATTTGTCACCTGACACACCCAAGCACACCAGTCAGACCGTGATTCACAGTGACCTTTGTGTGCCTATTGATTAGGGTTGATTCAGAGTCAGAGTCCAGTAATCCTTTCTCTAATCCCCAGTGACCATGGACATTGGCCTTTAGGAAAAACGCGAAGGAAGGTTTAAAGTATATACTTTGACTAGCATCAGCGAGTTCTCCCTGAAGGAAAAGCATCCCCAACATGGAAGGGGTTCCAACACTGAGAACTGGCTCAGGGCTAGTAACAGGTGTGAGGCTTTCTGGGTGGATGTGCTGGTGCCTCATCCAGATCTCTGCAGGTACAGAACACTCATTTCTAGGCAGTGTTGCTGCTTGCAGATGCCACATTCTCAAGAGACTTGCTCTTGGCCTGGTGCCGTGGCTCACACCTGTAATCCCAGCACTTTGGGAGGCCGAGGCGGGCAGACTGCATGAGATCAGGAGTTCTAGACCAGCCTGGCCAACATGGTGAAACCCTATCTCTACTAAAAATACAAAACCTAGCTGGGTGTGGTGGTGCGTGCCTGTAATCCCAGCTACACAGGAGGCTGAGGCAGCAGAATTACTTTAACACGGGAGGTGGAGGTTGTAGTGAGCCAAGATGGTGCCACTGCACTCCAGCCTGGGTAACAGCAGAGTGAGAGCGAGACTTCATCTAAAAAAAAAAAAACAAAAAACTACAGACCTAGAGACTTGCTCTTGACCTGAGAGGAACATGTTTTACTAGCTAGGAAGGTCATAAAACTTTCACCCCTGGAAAAGCCCATAAAGATTAGAGGTTAAAAATTCAAATCCTGTCTTTGCGATGGGGTCCCTCTGAAGTCATAGCCTCACCTGGCTCCTTACTCTTCCCCATACTGCTTTCGTCACTCCCTTTGTTCTGAAAGCAAACTCTCAAACAGTTCATGAACATCTGAATCCTCGTCTCAGGCTCTGCTTCTGGGAAACCCGAGCCAAGGCCCTATGCTGCCCCACTGTGGTGACTCAAGTCTGGTTCTTTCTCACCAGACCTAGAGATGGTATCATTCCAGAGACCAAGTATCACTGTCTGGGTGCTTCTCATCACACTTTAAGAGGAATTGCAAAGAACTCAAGTTGTGAGGGTTGTGCTAACTGGGGCTCTCATTAGTGATCCCTTGGGAATTTCTGTTAGTTGTTTTTTGAGACGGAGTCTTGCTCTATCGCAAGGCTGGAGTGCAGTGGCACAATCTTGGCTCACTGCAACCTCCGCCTCCTGGGTTTAATCAATTCCCCTGCCTCAGCCTCCCAAGTAGCTGAGACTACAGGCCTGTGCCACCACGCCCAGCTAGTGTTTTGTATTTTAGTAGAGACGGGGTTTCATCGTGTTAGCTAGGATGGTCTCAATCTCCTGACCTCATGCTCTACCCACCTCAGCCTCCCAAAGTGCTGGAATTACAGGCATGAGCCACCACGCCTGGCCTGTTGTTGTTTTTAAAACAGAGTCTTGCTCTGTCGCCCAGGCTGAAGTACAATGGCGCGATCTGGACTCACTGCAACCTCCACCTCCCAGATTCAAGTGATTCTCCCCGCTTCAGCCTCCCAAGTAGCCGGGATCATAGGTGCCCACCACCACACCTTGCTAATTTTTGTATTTTTAGTAGAGAGGGAGTTTCACCATGTTGGCCAGACTGGTCTCGAACTCCTGGCCTCAGGTGATCCTTTCACCTTGGCCTCCCAAAGTGCTGGGATTACAGGCATAAGCCCCTGTGCCCAGCCTGGAAATTTCTGTCCTTAAGGGGAAAAGAGGAGCTTGGCTGAGTCTCTCATGAGGTCGCTGCTAAGATGTTGGCTGAGGCTGCTTTCATATGAAGGCTGGACTGGAGTTGGAGGCCCATGTCCAAGATCCTACAGGTTTTGTTTCTAGTGTGCCTTCCCCATACACAGGCAGCCTGCTCCATGAGGAATTTGGAAGCCAGGAATTGTGGGCTGCTTTGTGGAGTGGTTGATTTTGTTGTTGTTGTTTCTTATTTTTTGAGCTGGAGTCTTGCTCTGTCTCCCAGGCTGGAGTGCAGTGGTGCAATCTTGGCTCACTGCAGCCTCTGCCTCCCGGGTTCAAGCAATTCTCCTGCCTCAGCCTCCTGAGTAGCTGGGATTACAACCATGTGCCATCATGCTCAGCTAATTTTTGTATTTTTAGTAAAAATGGGGTTTCACAATGTTGGCCAGGCTGGTCTCGAACTCCTGACCTCAGGTGATCCACCTGCCTTGGCCTCCCAAAGTGCTGGGATTACAGGCGTGAGCCACCGTGCCCAGCTGGGAAGTTGGGTTTTGAAGACAAGGCAAGTAGAGTGTGATGGGATGGTGGGTGTGGGGTCAGCGAAAGGTTCTGTTTTTGTTTTAGACAGGGAGGTGAGTGTGTTTACAAATTAGGGATCTAGATAGGAGGGAAGAGAAAGAGAGAGGGAGAGAGTGTGAGGGAAAGAGAGAGAGAGAGACATCAAAAGTATAGGGGAGACAGCTGGGTGCAGCGGCTCATGCCTGTAATCCTGGGACTTTGGGAGGCCAAGGCAGGAGGATCACTTGAGCCTAGGAGCTTGAGAGCAGCCTGGACAACATAGCAAGACCCCATCTTGATTAAAAAATGTTTTTGGCTGGGCATAATCCCAGCACTTTGGGAGGCCGAGGCAGGTGGATTACAAGGTCAGGAGTTCGAGACCAGCCTGGTCAAAGTGGTGAAACCCTGTGTCTACTAAAAATACAAAAATTAGCTGGATGTGGTCGCAGGCCCCTGTAGTCCCAGCTACTTGGTAGGCTGAGGCAGGAGAATTGCCTGAACCTGGGAGGCAGAGGCTGCAGTGAGCCGAGATTGCGCCACTGTACTCCAGCCTGGAGACAGAGCCAGACTCTGTCTCAAAAAAGAAAAAAAAAGATTAAGATATAGGAGAGAAACAGAGAAAGGTTAGAACAGAAACTCAAGCAATTGGTACCAGTGATATCCGGTGTCCACTGAAAGGGAATTTCTCACGACCAAACCCTTACTTATACAGATGGTGAAACCGATACTCTCAGAGACAGAGAAACAGAGAAACTGACTTCTCAAGAGCAGTGGTGTGAGAACGTATTTATTTATCTATTTATTTAGAGACAGAGTCTCCCTGTGGCACTCAGGCTGGAGTGCGTGGTGCAGCCACAGCTCACTACAGCCTCCACCTCCTGGGCTCAAGCAATCCTCCCTCCTCAGCCTCCTGAGGAGCTGGGACCGAGGTGTGCACCACCATGCCTGGCTAATTTACTTTTTGTAGAGATGGGATCCTCCTATATTACCCAGGCTTCTCTTAAACTCCTGGGCTCAAGGGATCCTCTTACCTCAGCCTTGCAAAGTGCTGGGATTACAGGTATGAGTAACCGTGCCTAGCTGTTTTGTTTTCTGGGACAGGGCCTCACGCTGTCACGCAGCCTGGAGTGCAGTGGCACAATCACAGCTTTCTGCAACCTCAACCTCCCAGGCTCAAGTGATTCTTCCACCTCAGTCTCCCAGGTAGCTGGGACTACAGGTGTGTACCACCACACCTGGCTAATTCTCTTTCCTTTCTTTCTTTCTTTTTCTTTTTCTTTTCTTCTTCCTTCTTTCTTCTTCCTTCTTCCTTCTTCCCTCCTCCTCCTCCTCCTCCTCCTCCTCCTCCTCCTTCTTCTTTCTTCTTCTTCTTCCCCCCCCTCTCTCTCTCTCTCTCTCTATCTCTTTCTTTTGTAAAGATGGGGTTTTGCTATGTTGCCTAAGCTGGCCTCAAACTCCTGGCTCAAGTGATCCTCATACTTCAGCCTCCTGAGTAATTGGGCACATGCCACCATACCCGGCTACGCTTTGTATTCTTAACTTCCATACTATACATGAGATTAAGGCACCCCATTTATGCACATAATTAGTAAGTCAACAAAAACACCTTGAAAAATCCTGGGTGTCAGCTGCCTTCTGAGCACAGGTGACCTAGGGATGAACTAAAAATAAACACGACTAAGATTTATCAAGTGTTTACAGCGGGCCAGGCACTGTTCCAAGACTTTCCACATAGTAACTAATTTATTTCTCTTAAAATATTTACAAGGGGCTGTGCCCATTCTTTAGAGAGGAGGAATCTGAGTCACTGTGAACTGAAATCACTTGTTCAGGGTCACAGGTGGAGATGCAGATTAGAGAGTCTGGTGTTTGGAAGGGTCCTGAGCAGGCTAGAAAAGCCCCCGGGCCCAGCGTGGGTCATTTCCAAGCCGAATCCTAATGGAGGAGTAGCTAGGAGACTGTTGGGGGAAAGTAGGCCGGTGTGCCTGGTAGGGGAGACACCCTAGGCAAAGGCCAGGAGGTGGGAACCTGCTGGACTCACTTTGTGAGAGCTGCAAGGGCTTGTGGGAGACGGAGAGGGGAAAGGCCCGAATGGAAGAGCGTGCCCCAGGGACGAGGGGTGTGAGTTCTAGGCCCCAGGCTGGTGTGATGTGTGATCACCCACCAGGGAGGCAAGGGAGTCAGCCGGCCTTTCTTTCAGCAGCCCCAGCACTCATTATCTGTCCCACGTCCCACGTCTGTGCAGCGGTGGGGCACAGCACCCAGTACCTTGGGTACAGAGGAGGTTTCAGGGGACAAAGTGGAGTGGGCTGGGGGCCGATGATGCCACGTGGGGCTGAAGAGAGGATCAGAGGTGTCTCCAGGGTCAGAGCTAGAGGCAGCGGTGAGGGAGGAAGGTGAGGGCTGGCTGGGCAGGGCTGGGAGCTGGGTTCCACTTCCTCCTCCTCCCCTTCCCGCCCTGGCCTCTCTGGCTTCACCAATGAGCTGGGAAAGGGGAAATTCTTGAGTGTAAAGTCCAGCAGGTGGAAGGACCAGGCCTGGGACTCCTGGGTCCCCGGCAGTGTCTGGAGGCATGACTGGGGCTGGTGGGGGCCTCGGGGCCTGGCGGAGCCTGGTGCTGCTGGTAAGTGCTCCCTGCCCAGAGCGGGCTCCTGCCGGGTCTGAGGGAGAAGGAACTGGGTCCCTGCACCCCTGTTATGAGGAATTAGGTGCTGAAGATCTCTTAGAGAAGGAAGAGGGCTTCAGGCTTGATAGAGACCATAGGAGAGTCTTCCACCTGGGGCTCTCAGATACTGCTGTGTCTGCTGCCAGAGGACACACGGCTGTGTTCAAAATGAGTGACAGACAGGGAGCAGCCCCACCTCCCTCAGACCCAAAAGTCCAAACCCCAGTTCCTCCTCCCTCAGACTAGGAGTCAAGATCCCCAGCCCCTGTTCCTTCAGACTAGGAGTCCAGGCGTCCAGCCCCTCCTCCTTCAGACCCAGGAGTCCAGACCTCAGCCCCTCCTCCCTCAGACCCAGGAGTCCAGACCCCAGCCTCTCCTCCCTCAGACCCAGGAGTCCAGACCCCAGCCCCTCCTCCCTCAGACCCAGGAGTCCAGACCCCAGCCCCTCCTCCCTCAGACCCAGGAGTCCAGACCCCAGCCCCTCCCCCCTCAGACCCAGGAGTCCAGACCCCAGCCCCTCCCCTCTCAGACCCAGGAGTCCAGACCCCAGCCCCTCCTCCCTCAGGCCAAGGCTCCTGGTCCCTAGCCTTGGTTTTTTCCTCTCTTCCCAGTCTGTTCATTGCTCTCTGCCCTCAGTTTTCCAAGACCATATATTTCGGGAAATGAAGTCATTAATTTTCTCTCTCGGCCTTATTGGGTGGAGCCAAGCCCAGCTCCCTGAGCTCCGCCCCTGCCATGTCCCCCTTCTCTCTTCGACCCAGGAAAGACGGTTGGGGTGACCTTTGTGACAGCCAAGCCTAATGCGGGCCCCTCCCTCCTGTGCAAGGGTGACTCACTCCCAGGGCGGGGGACCAGCTGCCCCTCTGAGCCCCACCTCACTGGGCGGGGGAATGGCTCAGAGGCTGACTCCGTTTTCTCTGGTCTCCCTCCAGGGCCTGTGCAGCTGGACAGGGGCCAGTGTGGCCGGTGAGTGACCCCTGCCTGAACTCACTGCCCACCCGAAGAGGTGGGACCCCAACTCTCTTGAGCCTCTGGGGGGTCCCGGTGGTCCATGGTTGGGGCTTTTGAGCGCTGTTGTTTCTGCACTTGGGGCAAGAGCTCCGGGGGTGGGGAGGGGTGGCATTGACCTGCTCCCCTTTGCGCTGGACTCTCCTTCCCAATTCTCAGCCCTTGACCCAGTGAGGAACCTGAGAGCGGAGAATCAGACCAACAGCTCCATCACCCTGAGCTGGGAGGCCCCCGAGGGTCTCGACCCGAAGAACTCCATCTACTGGGTTCAGTGGACTCGAGATGGTGGCAGCAGGGAGACTCGAAACACAACAGACACCAGAGTCACTGTGGACGGACTCGAACCCGGGTCTTCGTATGCATTTTTTGTGTGGATAGAAAAAGATGGAGAGCAAAGCACCAGGGTGAATCTCAGTACCCCCACAGGTGAGAGGCAGCCATGGTTTTCATCTTTATCATTATTATTTTGAGACAGAGTTTCAATCTTGTTGCCCAGGCTGGAGTAAAATGGCACAATCTCAGCTCACCACAACCTCCGCCTCCCAGGTTCAAGCAGTTCTCCTGCCTCAGCCTCCCCAGTAGCTGGGATTACAGGCATGCACCACCACAGCCGGCTATTTTTGCATTTTTAGTAGAGATGGGATTTTTCCATGTTGGTCAGGTTGGTCTCGAACTCCTGCCCTCAGTGATGTGCCAACATCAGCTTCCCAAAGTGCTGAGCCACTGCGCCCGGTTTAATCTTCATTATTATTATTATTATTATTATGACATGGAGTCTTGCTCTGTCATTCAGGCTGGAGGGCAATGGCCAGATCTCAGCTCACTTCAACTTCCACCTCCTGAGTTCAGGTGATTCTCCTGCCCAGCCTCCCGAATAGCTGCGATTAAAGGTGCACCCCCCACCATACTCACACACCTGGCTAATTTTTGTATTTTTAGTAGAGATAGGGTTTCACCATGTTGCTCAGGCTGGTCTCGAGCTCCTGATGTCAGGTGATACACCTGCCTGATACACGTTACAGGCGTGATTCACTGTGCCCAGCTTACTCTTTCTTTTTAAAACTGAGGTGGTAGGGGTGGTTGAGAACTGGCAAGTTCTGTAGTTCAATAGAAATCTAATGGAAGCTATGCCTGGGCAACATGGTGAGACCTCATCTCTACTAAAATCAGAAAATTAGCCGGGTGTGGCGACACGAGCCTGTGGAGGCTGAGGCAGGAGGATCGCCTGAGCCCAGGAGGTGGAGGCTGCAGTGAGCCGTGATTGCACCACTGCACTCCAGCCTGGGCCACAGAGTGAGACCTTGTCTCCAAAAGCTAATGCAATATGATAAAATAAATTTTGGTTCGCTAAGGTTGCATGGCATTCCCAGTTCAGTTCCACATTTCATGGACTTTGTTGAGGGCTTTCTGTTCCTCCATGCCCTCCACTGGGAGAGTTGCCTGCCTTATTGGAAGGCAGGAGAGCATTTCTAGCATCGAGGAAATTCAGTCAGAAAGTGCTGTTAGCCAGGCGTAGCGGTGAATGGCTGCCGTCCCAGCTGCTTGGGAGGCTGAGAACAAGAATCATTGGAACTTGGGAGGCAGAGGTTGCAGCGAGCCGAGATCACAGTGCTGACTCCAGCCTGGGCAACAGAGCAAGACTCCGTCTCAAACAGACAAACAAACAAAAAAGGAAAGTTTTGGTCCAGATCCTTGCTACTCAAACTATGACCAGAACTATGTGGGTAGGTAGCATCACGGAGTGCTGACTGGAAAGGCAGGATCTCAGCTCCGTCTCAGGCCCACTCCTTGGGGCCCTCATGACATAACGCACACATCACAGTCGGCCTGCATCAGCTGGCGCCAGCAGTTTGGAAGAACTGGGAACATAAAGGGCCAGAGATGTCCACTGCCTGCCCCCTTTGTTTTCTGTATCTCTGTTCTCATTGGATCTCTCTCCCTAATTTCTCAGCCCCCAACCCAGTGAGAAACCTGACCGTGGAGGCCCAGACCACCAGCTCCATCACCCTGAGCTGGGAGGCCCCCGAGGGCCCAGACCCACAGAACTCCACCTACTGGGTTGAGGGCACTGGAGACGGTGGCAGAACGGAGACCCGAAGCACAACAGACACCAACGTCACCGTGGATGGACTTGAACCCGGGTCCTTATATAAGTTTTCTGTGTGGGTAGAGAAAAATGGAGTAAATAGCTCTGAGGAGACTGTCACTACTGCCACGGGTAAGAGGCGGCCACTGCTTCATGTTTTCTTCTTTTTTAAGGATGGTGGTAGGGGGTGATTGAGAGCTGAGAAAATGCAGCAGGTTCTTTAGTCCCGTAGATATACAGTGGAAGCCATGCATGTGAATTTCAGTCTTCTGTCAGCCACATCAAAATAAATAAAAAGAAACTGGCCAGCCTGTCTCTACAAAAAAATTTAAAAAATTCTCTGAGTTTGGTGGCATGTATCTGTGGTCCCAGCTACGTGGAAGGCTGAGGTGAGAGGATCACTTGAGCCTGGGAGGCAAAGGTTGCAGTGAACTCTGAACGGACTACTGCACTCCAGCCTGGGAGACAGAGAAAAACTGTGTCTCTTTAAAAAAAAAAAAAAGGAAACAAATGAACGAAATAATCATGAGACATTTATGTAGCTCATCGGATACAATTTTGTTTTTAAATTAAGATAGAGTCTCACTGGAGTGCAGTGGTATGATCTTGGCTCACTGCAACCTCAAGTGATTCTCCTGCCTCAGCCTCCCAAGTAGCTGGGACTACAGGCGCCTGCCACCACGCCTGACTATTGTTTGTATTTTTAGTGGAGACGGGATTTCACCATGTTGGTCAGGCTGGTCTCGAACTGCTGACCTCAGGTGATCCACCTGCCTTGGCGTCCCAAAGTGCTGGGATTTCAGGCATGAGCCGCTGTGCCCCGGCGGATACAAAATATTATCATTTAAACATGTAATCAATATAAAAAGGATCATTAAATATATACACTATGTACCCGCAAAAATAAAAATAAATATAAATAAATATATAAAAAAATGTAAATAAATGTAAAAAGGATCAGTGAGATAGTTGACATTCTTCATTTCGTATGAAAGCTTCAAACCCTGGTGTGTGTCTTATGCGAATGGCTCATCTCATTTTGTAAAAGCCACATCACGAGTGCTTAACAGTCACATATAACTTGTGGCTGCCACACTGGATAATGCTGTGCCTCCAGTTGCTGGATTCAATAGTTAAGGAAGGGCTGGAAAGTTCCAGAGCCAGAAACTGCAACTGATTTTCCCTCCCATACTGCTTTTCAGCCCCCAACCCAGTGAGAAACCTGATAGTGAAGGCCCAGACCACCAGCTCCATCACCCTGAGCTGGGAGGCCCCTGAGGGCCCAGACCCACAGAACTCCACCTACTGGGTTGAGTGCACCGGAGACGGTGGCAGAACGGAGACTCGAAGCACAACAGACACCAATGTCACCGTGGATGGACTTGAACCCGGGTCTCTATATGCATGTTCCGTGTGGGTGCTGAAGAATGGAATCAACAGCTCCCAGGAGACTCGAAATGCCACCACAGGTGAGACGCGGTTGCCATTTGTTTTATCTCTTATTTGTTTAAGGGAAGACAGCAGGAGAACGTGGCCGACTGTCCAGCCCATAGTCCCTCTGCGCCACATCGAGCCAGGTCCTCATGTCCACATCCTGGGCAGCCTCAGCTCAGGAGATGAAGATGGATGACTGACTATGGTACCTCCAGCTTCTATGTTGGGGCGGGTCTGTGTCAAGGACTCTGGAGAATGTGGACCATGAGGCCAGGGAGCGTCTTCCTGCACCACCAGGAATGCGCAGGGGCAAGGTGTGTGACCTGAGCTCTCAAGGAATTAGATGCTGTGAGTGGGGACACTCTGACCCTCTGACTCTTCTCCTAGTTCCCAACTGTGTCACATATATTGAGGTTGGAGACTCAGATCATCAGCTCCATGATCCTGAGGTGGACAGCTCCCCTGTCTAGATCTCCATTGCCCAATATGGTAGCCTCTAGCCACATGTGGCGATGACATTTAAACTTGTAAATGGTGCATGAAACTGCAAATTCAGATGCACATTTCATGTGTTCAGAAGGCCTGTTGAGGGGCTCCCAGTCCTCCCTTCGTCCTCTGCTGTGCTGGTGCCCACCATATTGCAAAATGAGAGACCACACAGAAAGCTCCCTTGACTCTCTCTCTCTCTCTCTCTCTCTCTCTCTCTCTCTCTCTCTCTCAACAGAGTCTTGCACTGTCGCCTGGGCTGGAGTGCAGTGGCACAATCTCTGCTTACTGCAACCTCTGCCTCTTGGGTTTAAGCGCGTCTCCTTGTCTCAGCCTCCCAAGTAGCTGGGATTACAGGTGGGCACCACCACACCCGGCTGCTTTTTTTGTGTTTTTAGTAGAGACGGGGTTTCACTATGTTGGCCAGGCTGGTCTCGAACTCTTGACCTCGTGATCCACCCACCTTGGCCTCCTAAAGTGCTGGGATTACAGGCGTGAGCCACCGCACCCAGCTGCTTTTTATTTTTATTTTTTTTTAAGAGTCACAGTCTTGTTCTGTCACCCAGGCTGGAGTGAAGTGGTAGGATCATAGCTCACTGAAGCCTCAGATTCCTGAGCTCAAGCAGTCCTCCCACCTCAGCCTCCCAAGTAGCAGGGACTGCAGGCGTGAGCCACCACGCCTGACTTTCTTTCTTTCTTTCTTTCTTTATGTATTTTGAGACGGAGTCTTGCTCTGTCACCAGGCTGGAGTGCAGTGGTGCAATCTTGGCTCACTGCAACCTCCGCCTCCTGGGTTCAAGGGATTCTTCCGCCTCAGCCTCCTGAGTAGCTGGGACCACAGGTGCGTGCCACCACGCTTGGCTAATTTTTGTGTTTTTAGTAGAGATAGGGTTTCACCATGTTGCTCAGGCTGGTCTCGAACTCCTGATGTCAGGTGATACACCTGCCTGATACACGTTACAGGCGTGATTCACTGTGCCCAGCCTACTCTTTCTTTTTAAAACTGAGGTGGTAGGGGTGGTTGAGAACTGGCAAGTTCTGTAGTTCAATAGAAATCTAATGGAAGCTATGCCTGGGCAACATGGTGAGACCTCATCTCTACTAAAATCAGAAAATTAGCCGGGTGTGGCGACACGAGCCTGTGGAGGCTGAGGCAGGAGGATCGCCTGAGCCCAGGAGGTGGAGGCTGCAGTGAGCCGTGATTGCACCACTGCACTCCAGCCTGGGCCACAGAGTGAGACCTTGTCTCCAAAAGCTAATGTAATATGATAAAATAAATTTTGGTTCACTAAGGTTGCATGGCATTCCCAGTTCAGTTCCACGTTTCATGGACTTTGTGGAGGGCTTTCTGATCCTCCACGCCCTCCACTGGGAGAGTTGCCTGCCTTATTGGAAGGCAGGAGAGCATTTCTAGCATCGAGGAAATTCAGTCAGAAAGTGCTGTTAGCCAGGCGTGGTGGTGAATGGCTGCCGTCCCAGCTGCTTGGGAGGCTGAGAACAAGAATCATTGGAACTTGGGAGGCAGAGGTTGCAGCGAGCCGAGATCACAGCGCTAACTCCAGCCTGGGCAATAGAGCAAGACTCCGTCTCAAACAGACAAACAAACAAAAAAGGAAAGTTTTGGTCCAGATCCTTGCTACTCAAACTATGACCAGAACTATGTGGGTAGGTAGCATCACGGAGTGCTGACTGGAAAGGCAGGATCTCAGCTCCGTCTCAGGCCCACTCCTTGGGGCCCTCATGACATATGCACACATCACAGTCGGCCTGCATCAGCTGGCGCCAGCAGTTTGGAAGAACTGGGAACATAAAGGGCCAGAGATGTCCACTGCCTGCCCCCTTTGTTTTCTGTATCTCTGTTCACATTGGATCTCTCTCCCTAATTTCTCAGCCCCCAACCCAGTGAGAAACCTGACCGTGGAGGCCCAGACCACCAGCTCCATCACCCTGAGCTGGGAGGTCCCCGAGGGCCCAGACCCACAGAACTCCACCTACTGGGTTAAGGGCACTGGAGACGGTGGCAGAACGGAGACCCGAAGCACAACAGACACCAACGTCACCGTGGATGGACTTGAACCCGGGTCCTTATATAAGTTTTCTGTGTGGGTAGAGAAAAATGGAGTAAATAGCTCTGAGGAGACTGTCACTAATGCCACGGGTAAGAGGCGGCCACTGCTTCATGTTTTCTTCTTTTTTAAGGATGGTGGTAGGGGGTGATTGAGAGCTGAGAAAATGCAGCAGGTTCTTTAGTCCCGTAGATATACAGTGGAAGCCATGCATGTGAATTTCAGTCTTCTCTCAGCCACATCAAAATAAATAAAAAGAAACTGGCCAGCCTGTCTCTACAAAAAAATTTTTTAAAATTCTCTGAGTTTGGTGGCGTGTACCTGTGGTCCCAGCTACGTGGAAGGCTGAGGTGAGACGATCACTTGAGCCTGGGAGGCAAAGGTTGCAGTGAACTCTGAACGGACTACTGCACTCCAGCCTGGGAGACAGAGAAAAACTGTGTCTCTTAAAAAAAAAAAACAAAAAAAAAGGAAATAAATGAACGAAATAATCATGAGACATTTTATGTAGCTCATCGGACACAATTTTGTTTTTAAATTAAGATAGAGTCTCACTCTGTTGCCCAGAATGCAAGACATTCTAGGTCTCATTGCTAGGAAGTCTTTTGTCCTTTCTTCCTGTCGTCCTTCCTTCCTTCTTTCCTTCTTTCTTTCCTTCTTTCCTTCCTTCCTTCCCTCCTTCCTTCCTTCCTTCCTTTCTTTCCTTCTTTCTTTCTTTCTTTCCTTCTTTCTTTCTTTCTTTCCTTCTTTCTTTCTTTCTTTCTTTCTTTCTTTCTTTCTTTCCTTCCTTCCTTCCTTCCTTCCTTCCTTCCTTTCTTTTCTTTCTTTTTCTTTCCTTCCACCCATCTTTCTTTCCTTCTTTCTTCTTTCTTTCTTTCTCTTTCTTTCTTTCTTTCTTTCTTTCTTTCTTTCTTTCTTTCTTTCTTTCTTTCTTTCTCTTTCTTTCTTTCTCTCTCTCTCTTTCTTTCTTTCTTTCTTTCTTTCCTTCCTTCCTTCTTTCTTTCTTTCTTTCCTTCTTTCTTTCTTTCTCCCTCTTCCTCCCTCCCTCTCTCTCTCTCTCTCTCTCTCTCTCTCTCTCTTCTTTCTTTGACAGAGTTTTGCTCTTTTTGCTCAGGCTAGAGTGCAGTGGGGCAATTTTGGCCCACTGCAACCTCCACCTCCCGGGTTCAGGCAATTCTCCTGCCTCACGTCCCGAGTAGATGAGATTACAGGCATGTGCCGCCATGCTCGGCTAATACTGTATTTTTAGTAGAGACAGGATTTCTCCATGTTGGTCAGGTTGGTCTCAAATTCCTGACCTCAGGTGATCCACCCACCTCGGCCTCCCAAAGTGCTGGGATGAGAGGCCTGAGCCACTGTGATTGGCCTGGGGGTGTTGTTTCTCAGCAGCCAGGACTTTCCAAACTGTGGGACCTTCTTTTCTCCCTTTGTGAAATGGGCTCTTTGGGGTCAGGGAGGGCTCTGGACTGTCTAGCACCATTTCTCAGGAGCTGACAAAGTCACCAGCTGGACAATTGGTCCCAGGGAATTAGATGAATCAAGAGGACACTGCCCTGCCTCTCAGCCTGGGCATGGTGGGTCCCACTCTCGTGAGAAGAATCAAAATTACCTGGGAGACTAGGTTCATCCTTTTTTTTTTTTTTTTTTGAGGCAGGGTCTTGCCCTGTTCTCTAGGATGGAGTACAGTGGTGTGATCATCGCTTACTGTGGCCTCGACCTCCTGGGCTCAAGTGATCCTCCCACCTTGCCCTCCTGAGTAGCTGTGACCACGGGCGTGCACCACCATGCCCAGATAATTAAAAAAATTATTTTTTGTAGAGATAGGATCTCATTATGTTGCCCACACTGGTCTCAAACTCTTGGGCTCAAGTGATTCTCCCACCGAGGCTTCCCAAAGCACTGGGATTAGGGGAGTGAGCCTCTATGCCTGGCCTGAACCTGAAACTCTTTAATCCTTGGTCATTTGGCCTAAAAAGATGAAATTTGGCCTCCTTCTAGAAACGTGGTGTGTCTAGATTGAGAAGTCACTTACCTGGGGTTCCTGTGGGAAAGAAAATACAGAAGATCCGATCTTGAAGGCCGTGAGAGATGATGGACTACAAATCCCATCACCCATGGGGCCATGACTTCATAAGCTGCAGCGATACAGAGAGTCCATGGCCTCATAGGAGTTGTAGTTTCAGTGGGTGGGACTGATATGCATTTGGGAAGAACAGAAAGATGACAGGATGTGACCCAGGGCTGTAGCCAGGGGACAGAGAGGGCTGGGAGAGTCTGGTCCTCATGGTGTTTGGGTGTCTAGGCTCTTTCCTGTGGTTCAGCCTCCTTAGCCACTGGAGCCATTGATAATGGGTATCTCAGCTTTGCTGTGGGGGAGAGGCTGGCAGGAAGGCTGGGGTAAGAGGGTCTTTGAGGCTACTCCTTTAGTTCTCTGTCCTCACTTCTCAGCTCCCAGTGAGGTCACGGATCTCCAGAACAAAACTCAGACTAACAACTCAGTCACACTGTGGTGGCAGGCCCCCAGAGACCCCCACTCTCAGCTGTACGTATACAGGGTCCAGTGGGCCAGCGAAGGACATCCCCAGAGGGAGCAAGATCCGCAAGTGAATTGGGCCAACCAGTCCAGCAGGACCAATGAGACATGGTACAAGGTAGAGGCCCTGGAACCCGGGACTCTGTACAACTTCACCGTGTGGGCAGAAAGAAACGACATGGCCAGTTCCACGCAAAGCATCCGTGTGTCCACAAGTGAGACCACCCCCTCGCCCACCCCTTCCTGCCTTCACCTGGTGAACTGGGCTTAGTTCAGGCCTTGAGGGCTGAGAGATGAATGGAGTAAAAATCCCATCAGGCCATGGGCCATGACTTGATGAGCTGCAGCTGTGGCAGAGCCCAAGGCCTCATGGGAGTTGTAGTTTGAAGGAACTTACTTGTATCCATTTGGAGAGGACAGAAAAGGAGGGAAGATGAAGTGGTTTGAATTGGGGAGGAAGGGATGGGCTTGTCTCTGAGAACTGGCCTGAGTAGTGGGGGTAGGGGTGGAAAGCCACCTTGGATGGCTCTGCTGACCTCTTGCTTCCTTCACCCAGACCCAGACACAGTCACCATCAATTCCTGCGTCAGCACCTCAGGGGGCTATGGAGTCATCTTGACCTGGTCCTGCCCCCAGGGAGGCTACGAGGCCTTTGAGTTGGAGGTGGGTGGACAGCGAGGCTCCCAGGACAGAGCTTCGTGTGGGAAGGGTATGTCTGTGTTGGGTCTCGGGCCGGCTCAGTCCTACCCAGCCACCATCACGACCATCTGGGACGGAATGAGGGCCACTTCTGCCTCTGTGACCTGCCACACCGAGAGTGCAGGTGAGCGGAGCCGCGTGGGCCAGGGAGCTTTGACAAAATTCTCAGTAGACCTCAGCAGGCCCCACTTTGTGAGGAAATCAATGGGATTCTTTTGTTTCTTGTTTCCTTTGAAACATCTTTATTTTATTTTTGTGAGATGGAGTTTTGCTCTTGTTGCCCAGGCTGGAATGCAGTGGCGCGATCTCAGCTCACTGCAACGTCTGGGTTCAAGCGATTCTCCCGCTTCAGCCTCCTGAGTAGCTGGGAATACAGGCATGTGCCACCACACCCGGCTAATTTTTGTATTTTTAGTAGAGACGGGGTTTCACTATGTTGGCCAGGCTGGTCTCAAACTCCTGACCTCAGGTGATCCACCCACCTCGGCCTCCCAAAGTGTTAGGATTACAGGCGTGAGCCACCACACCTGGCCTATCCATTCATTTTTATCCATTCACTGCTCCAGTTGATACATCAGTTGAGTGGTTTCTGCTTTTGACTATTATGGGCAATGCTGCTAGGAACGTTTGTGGACAGGTTTTGTGTGGACGTATGTTTTTATTTCTCTTGGGTCTATACCCACTAGTGGAACAGTCACATGGGAACTGTACTTTTAACTGCCCTTTTTTTTCCCCTCCTAATGTGGTTGTATCACTTTGCATTAATCAATGGGGTACTTGAAGAGGTTTGGAGCTTAGGCTTGGGAAAGGTCTGGCCATGTACCAAGACTGTGGCCATAAGCCTCACTTTGCCCCATCAGTCACTTCCCGGGAATAGGGTCTCCAATCTGGAGAGAGCCTGGGGGTTGATGCGGCGACCAATGGATGCTGTTCAAACTGGGCTTTGCCAGACCCCACTACCTAGAAAGTTCTCTCCCTTAGTAACAAGGCTATAAGACCGTACTGTCCCCTGTAGACAAGCACACTGTTCGCAGCTGCAGCTTGGGGCCCTTGAAGGCTGATAGAGATGGGCCACCGGCTTGAGTCTACCCTAAGACCAGACATCTAACAACAGGTCTTGGGAGAGCCGTGCCCGTCAGAGCCTGAGAGCAGGCACGGCCTCAGATGCCACCAGACCTCGGTAGGCTCCGCTGCTGGGAAGTCCTTCCTGAGCCAGCAGGACCTCCGAGGAGATGAAGCTGCAATTCTGGGGAGGACGGAAGCCGTCCATGCCAAGGACAATCTCACAGCCAGCAAAGTGTTTTCCCAGCCTCGGCACTATAGATGCTTTGCGCTAGATCCTTCTTTATTGTGGTTGGGGGGGGGGCGTCCTGTGCATTGTAGGGTATTGAGGAGGACCCCTGGTTCCACTCACTAGATGCCAGCAGCACTCCCACCTCCGAGCTGTCCAAATTCTCCAGACATTGCCCGGTGTCTCCTTGGCAACAAAATCGCCCTTGTTGAGAAGAACTAGTCTGGGCTAAGGAAGGCAAGAGTCACTGTTTTTTTGTTGTTTTGGGTTTTCTTTTCATGAGACAGGGTTTCACTCTGTTGCCCAGGCTGGAGTACAGCAATACGATCAGGGCTTAATGCAGCCTCCACTTCCCAGGCTCAAGTGATCCTCCTGCCTCAGTCTCCCCTGAGTAGCTGGGACTACAGGCATGTACTACCATGCCCCGCTATTTTGTTGTTGTTGTTGTTTTCTTTTCCTTTTTTTTCTGAGATGGAGTCTTGCTCTGTAGCCCAGGCTGAAGTGCAGTGGTGCCATCTTGGCTCACTGCAACCTCCACCTCCCGAGTTCAAGTGATTCTCATGCGTCAGCCTCCTGAGTAGCTGGGATTACAGGTGTGTGCCACCTCACCCAGCTGATTTTTGTGTTTTTATTAGAGATGGGGTTTTGCTGTGTTGCCCAGGCTGATCTCAAACTCCTGATCCACCCACCTCGGCCTCCCAAAATTTTGGGATTACAGGCGTGAGCCACTGTGCCTGGTCAGGAGTCACTCTTCTGCAACCAGGTCACCTGTGAAAACGATGGACAGTTGACCCTTGAATGATAATCCCCTACACAGTCAAAAATCTGCATGTAATTTTCACTCCCCAAAAACTTACCTACTAACAGCCTACTCTTGACTGGGAGCCCTACCAATAACATCAACAATTAACATGTATTTTGTCTGTAATATGTATTATATGTTGTATTTTTTTTTGAGACAGAGTCTCGCTCTGTCACCCAAGCTGAAGTGCAGTTGTGCGATCTTGGCTTACTGTAACCTCCGCCCCCTGGGTTCAAGAGATTCTCCTGCCTCAACCTCCCAAGTAGCTGGGATTACAGGCACGTGCCACAATGCCTGGTTAATTTTTTTGTATTTTTAATAGAGACGGGGTTTCACTGTGTTAACCAGGATGGTCTCAATCTCCTGACCTCGTGATCCACCGGCCTCAGCCTCCCAAAGTGCTGGGATTACAGGTGTGAGCCATCATGCCCGGCCATATTATATTCTTATAATAAAGTAGCTAGAGAAAAAAATGTCATTAAGAAAATCTTGGCCAGGTGCAGTGGTTCGTGCCTGTAATCCCAGCACTTTGGGAGGCCAAGGCGGGTGGATCACGAGATCAGGAGTTCAAGACCAGCCTGGCAAGATGGTGAAACCCCGTCTCTACTAAAACTACAAAAATTAGCCAGGTGCAGTGGCAGGTGCCTGTAATCCCAGCTACTCAGGAGGCTGAGGCAGGAGAATCGCTTGAACCTAGGTGGCAGAGGTTGTAGTCAGCTGACATCGCGCCATTGCACTCCAGGCTGGGCAA